GTCATCTCATCTGCACTGGAAAAGGTAAAAGCAATATAATTTCATTACTTGCAGTGAGCCTTTGCCTGTCACATCCACAGAGCAATGACACCACAAGAAGACTTTTCTTTTTTTAAAGTGTTAGATTTTGCTCAAATAACATAATGGCTTCACTGTGCATGTGAATAAGCTAAGAAATGGGTCAGTTATCAGCAGCTAAAGCCCATATATTTGAGTGTGTTAACTTTCTAGAAGTAATGGATGTTTTATTATTAGCAATCACAAACGCTATTAGAGCTGTAAAGCCGTTATTTAGCTTAGTGCTATTCATTGATTAAGAAGCACTTTTAATTAAAACTACCAAAATTCTGGTCTCCTTCATTATGACATAAGGGAATTAAGACGAAAAAAGGTCAGTTTAGGGACTAATTTGTGTGTATTAATTCTATTAATCAACATTAGTCAACAAATTCTGTCTTGGAAATGAAGTCAAGTTAATAGAAAATTATAGTCAAAGTGGGAATTTTCTATTTGTTTGGTTTTAAATTTAGGAACCCAAATGGGAAAGTTAATTTTCAGGAGATAATTCTACCTGCCAAATTCACATTGAGTTTTGGAGTTAGTTGGAGTTTCAGATTTTAAATTCTGCCCCTCACATTAGTAAAACATAGAAAAATACCCACCCAGGAAAATCTGTTCTGTCTTCTATGACCGCAATGAAGAAAAATAGAGAAATGAGGAGGATTCCAAGTACATACCGGTCTCCAAAATCAACAGTTGGCTTAATTGTGATATCATCCCTGAAACCGTCACTTCAGCCAACAGGTTGACAGTAGAAGAGACAGAAAGATGGGGAGAAGAAAGGGAGAGGACATGATCTGATGCATAAACTTAAATCCTTCCGAACGTTACAGCACTTTATATCACAGGTCAATATCTGAGAAAGGCAGATGTTTAACCAAGTGTTTCTTGATGTGTCAAAGTATTATTTGCTTGCCATCACATGAAACAAAATTATTCCTATTCAGTTAGAGCTGCAAAGTGAGACATATATACAGCAAACACCCAGATTTCCATGTATTTGTTAACTACTATATAGTTTTAATTAAATACTTTCCAACCAAGCATTGTGTAGAGCAAGGCAGTATGTTTCCAACATATGTGTACATACATAGAGTGACGTGCAGCGTGAGATCTAGAACTTCACTCATCTGATTTCAGGCACACCGGTGACTGTGAGAATAAAAGAGCAGACCTGAAATCAGAGGAGTTTACTGCTCTATTTTCATATGCAGTCACTGCCTTGCTCTTTGCCATTTCAGTAAAGTGAACACATCCTAGCTACAAATTTTATAATGCAAAGAACGAAATTTTGCTCCACAATTTTAAACTTACATACACACTCATATGTATATGCATATCTATGTGTAAGTTTATGTATGCACATATATAATATGTATGTACGCTTTAAAAATACATACGGACAGAAAAAGATTAAGTCAGAGAAATCTATTACAAAAAAGGAAAACAAATGGAAATGTCAAGTTTGAAATAATCTAAAAATCATCTCATACTCCTAGAAAAGAAACAATGTTTGGTCTGCTCTTAAACTGGAAACTAAATTGCTTTTAACTGATAAAATTTGGAATATCTAATAGAAAAGCAATTTGTCTCCTTAAGCGCGATCCTTCTTTGCCAAGCGAAGGATATGGCCCGTGCCCAGGTTGCCAGGCAACTGCACAGAATTTGCAAACATTTCCTGAAGATGTGCTGCCCTGTGCCGCACTCAGCCCAGCTCCAGTGACACGGTTCTCTCGGAACCTGAGCAAAAAAGGGTTTTAGAGTATTTTGGAGAGACTGGATAAGTGTGACTGTGACTTAAATTGTATAAACTGAAGTTCCTTGATGATCGTGTTCATTATAAAGTTGAGTGACTATGAATCAGAGGAAACAGTGAGGTCTGTTTAGTTTCAACCCAGCACTGAGATGTCGAACTACTCTCATGGCTGGAATGAAAGAATGGTTATTGATCCATGGAGGGGAAAATATACACAACTTTGCTAGTGACAAGCCATGCTAATGCTTGGAAGCATTGTTGAGAGGGGTTTTTTTCTTTCATTTCAGAATCCTCGATTTTTACCACACAAACTCTTATACATTCCAATGTCACAGAATGTTAGGGGTTGGAAGGGACCTCAAAAGATCACCTAGTCCAATCCCCAACCTCCTCTAAAAACATATCCTCTCCAAAACATTTTTTTCCACATATAAATAGATTTCCTTTCAAACTGAAAATATGTTAATATATTTTTAAACTGTAGTTTTCTGAGGTATGACCATCAAGGCCAGATTTCACTTTAGATGTGTATCAACCTCTCAGTACAAGACTTGACTCGTCAGAACAGCAATATACAAAATACATCAGATATACTAACACTATATACAGACAGAAGATTAATTTATCCATTGTTATTTTTCTTAATGCTTTATTATTACATGGCTTATTCTAAAAATAGTAGGTATGAAGATAAGCAGAGATTCCTCCAGTCATCATCTGTTATTCACAGTGGAAATGAGTGTCAATCAATGTCCCATCTGAAGGTAGTCAAGTAATTCTCAGACTAGACATAATTGATTTCTACAGCTTTTATCAACGCAAGAGGTCAGGTCTCCCCACCAACACGGCTTCATTCAATTCTGTCTCACTCGACTTTCACCGTCACCCAGGAAAAGGGACATACAAAAGTGGAAAGCACACATGCAAACATACCTCAGATCAGGATCCCACAGCCAGAGGAAAGCTTCTAACAATAAACCCTTTGGAAACAAAACAAAACAGAAAATAACCTCATAGCGCTCCCCCCAGTCCAATATTTTGGCTGCTTTTCTGATGGCAAACAGATTTATTATATTAATCATCTGGTGTTAAAACACAATTAAATGATGCACATTCCCAGAAAGCAAGCAGAGGGCTGGCTCCACCATTCACTGGTTTCATGGATAATAAAATCTAAACCAACCCAACCCACAATCTAGATTGTTGCTGACTTATAAGGTACAGTTTTCTCCTGTTGTGAACACTAACCCCAAGCCACCCCTTGACACAGTTGTAATAAGCAGTTACAACAATAGTAGATATGCTGTCAGCACTGCGGAATTCTTTAGAAAGGGGAAATGACTGCCGGGCAGGACAGCTTACCTCTCTGCTCCAGGAAACGTACATGAAGATCCATGTTCTTTCTAGACGCATGACTGAAAACAGTTCCAGTGACATTTCCAGCCCACAGTTCAGATATTTCAGTTGAGGTGTGTCATACGCAAAGAAAAATTGGTTTTGACTTAGCTAGAAGTTAGCACCAGCTGTAAATATGACAGTGTCTCGATACGAACATTCTGAAGTACAGCAGATCGTCTTCAGCCACATTTGCATTAACTGAAATGCAGCAAAAGGCTGCTATGTGGCCCTCATTTGCCTGAAAGAAATTCATGCTGCATTCAACAGGTATGAGTTGATAATCATTGATTTTAGGATCAGATGTGAAAAGCCACATTACTATTCTGATCATTTTTGTGGCCAGGATTTCACCTCTTTTGACACTTAACATGGATAATCTTCTCTTTGATAGCAGTGTGACGTTGTTGAGCAGTACTTTGCTATCATTTAGTCAGCTCATGATTTTCTTCCTTTTCTTGTTAGAATTGTTGTCATTTCTCCAGGCAGAGAAACCTACCATTCTGCCTTTAAGTAGAGGAGCATGTACAATATGTCAGGATGAAATACCATGCACATCGGCAAGGAACAGACAGCTACTGGATGAGGTGAAATCTTAAAAGCTAAAATTGGAGCAAAGCACACCACTAAATGAAATAAAAGATTTGTCTATTTGCTTTTTTAAACTGATTCAAAAGTGAGGAAAAGCAAGTTAACATAACTAAATGACTTTCAATCTAGTAGAAGGTGTACTGTGCTGCTGTGTGGTCTGAAAGATGGGAGTTAACAACTGCTTGAAACACTTCATACAAGAGGAAAGCATGAAAGCATTTCATCAGGCAATTCTGTTCCTAAGGCACTATTTCTTGAAAGATTTTCACCTCAACAAGAAGAGGCATATGAATCCCTAAATTAGACCAATAATGACATAAGCACAAAGGAGCAAAAGCTCTTCCTTCTCCTCCCTTCCTTTCTGCTTTCTTGCCATAGAGTATGTGATCCATGAGAAAGTGGAAGAACCCTGGAAGTCACAAAACTTGCCTCAACCAAAATAATCTTCTCTGCTGGAGTGACCAGGGGCCACCTTTAGTGGACAAAGCAGTGTTTTACCTTTTAAAGTGTATTTATCCTGTTGAGAACAGCACAACTATAAGGGATGGAACTGACTTTCCATACCCGATACCCAAGCTATAAAATTTTAACTTAGCTGCACCTGCAAAAATTTTGGCTTGGATCCTAAAAGTCATGACTATCTCGATCCCTTTAACTCTGCATTTCTGTCATTGCTTCAGTGCTCAAAAATGGACTATTTGTGATAGCAATTAAAAAAAAAAACACAACCAAATATCTTTTATTGTTTAAGTAAGATTTGAAATGGTATTACTGAAAGGTAAGTGTACATGGACCCCCACTGTTCTGTTTCTACAGTTGCTCTTACGAGTTGTATTGTACTTAAACTATGTTTACACAGATATTTTTTTCCCCATGTTAACTGCCCCTTAATTCTTAACTTGATTTAAAACCTAATCTGCCATAAAGGTACATGAAATAGAACAGATTGAGAAAATACTTCAGAATAGCTGTTGTTTACAAAGAAACTAATTTATAGTCTGCAGTTACTGATCAGGTAGAACAAGAGTTCGGAAACCAGACTGTATTACAAAGCATTTCTTCAAACATCCATTTTGGATTATTGCTGGAAGGTACTAACTGGTCTATTCTAGACTAATTTACAAACATTCATAAAATAGTGAAAAATGCATGCTTTAGAAACCTGGTACATTTCATGCCTCCAGACTAAAAAGAATACGAAGACGGAAGCAAGTGATCGGCTTTTCCAACGTTGATTAGTAGCACTCAGAGTTTTTTTTCTTTTGTACTAACAGACTCTTCAAATTTCTTCTCCTTTCTTTCAGGCAATTTTTTATCTTCAGCTTTAGTCCATGGAGGGCTGTGCAACTTCTGCTGAAGGTGAAAAAAGCATCAGTGTAAGCATTGCATAGGTGATATGCACATACACAAGAAAATAAAAAAAGTATGTTAAAAAACCCTGGCAAGAGTGCACACAGACCTGTATGTCTGCTAAACTTATGCATCAGTGTTAAACTACCAGAACAGAATATGATATTCATCAACTGTGCCTTGAAGAGGATTCTGATCCATACCACAGGAAGCATATTTAACAATCTTTGACCATGCAAAACCACATAAATCTAATGCTGCTTTATAATCATGGTGATTTTTATCTTTTTCTCTTGGTTTCTCAGGAAGAGCTCAGACATTCAACTTGCTTAATGTGGCTGCATGAGGCTTCACATCACTGCAGATATATAACTGTTCTGGAAATCTCTCTCTTCTCCTGTTCCCACGTTATCAAATTAAGTCATTTGACTACGTGGATAAGCCCAGTTCTTCAATATTAAATAGTTTTGCAAGTTGGTACCAAGTAGAAGGCATTCTGAACAGATGAATTACAATCAGGTACAGTCAAAGTCTGAACTGAGAAAGCAGTTCTGTTTCAAAAGCATTTGCATAGAATGTGCAAATACACTTCAAGTAGTTGCATGCTTTAGAAGACCTTTGAGTAAATACTCCAAAATTACTCAGAATACCTGAAAGCTTGTCTCTGTTTCTGCTGTCTTCAAACGAGATGTTGAATTATTGCGATTCCCCAAACACGTCTTGCCAACCTGTCAATACAAATGCAAGAGATAACTACTTCATATTTTTTCTTAAAATATTTACAGTTTTCAAAAAAAACCCAAACCCCAACCTCAAAATATAGTGGCTCTGGGTTTTTTTTGTCCTAGCAGATGAAATGGAACAAAATAAAGTTTCCAGGGTGAAGCGAATCCCAAACTCCCAGTCTAAAGTAGTTGCCAATTTAACAAACTTATCTAGCTTTATTTTTTCTCATGTTTAAAACTCACCACAAATAGTGGATTTATTCTCGCAGTGAACACATAACTTATTATAATAGTCTGTAATGGGTGTGGAAATAGTAGCAAACAGCTGAAAATTACCATTACAGTCAGGACTTCTCTATTACTATTCTCCTGCTGAAACTGCTAGATCTCTTGGGTATAATAATCCCTGAATGGAAATACGTATAAAAATTCCCCAAATGGAGAAATCAGATGACTCTCAAGGTACAGAGAAGCTTGTTAGAGTATAGCTGTCATTTTATTCCGGCAATGGTGTCATTTGCTTTGCCAATATGCTTTTTAGTATCAGGGAAAACAGAGTTGAACAGAATAAAAAAAAAATAATTAATTACACAGTAGACTTGAATCAGAGATCTCATGTTACAAGTCTTAAGTAGAGATTTACCCAGCACTGAAATTTCTGCTGTAATTAAATTAATGTCCCTTCAGGAGGGGGATTAATGATGCCATAGGTACAGAAATTAAAATGCGAAATACAGGAAAACATTGATAATCTGGTCATTACTCTAAAATGTGCACGCATTGGAATTTCTCTACTTGTTTTGCTATAGAAATGGATACATTTAAATGGAGTGAAAACAAGTGGTTTTTTAAAGCTTTAAATCATCAAGACTCTTTTCAACATGGCAGTAATAGTTTTAACCTTAAATTTTAATATAACTCTTCCTCTGAAATGCTTCCCATTTAGCATAAGCCCTTGAAGATTTTTTAAGCTATACAGAACATTTTTTTCACTTCAGGTGTAATTCAACATATTAATAAAACAAGTGAAAAAATCATTAGTATATGGACACAAGCTTTGCTCACAATAATATAAATGGAAATATTCCTTCAACAAGAAACTCCCAATAATGTCCACTTACAAGGTTTGTTGACATTCCTACAACTTTTTTATATCATGGCTGATAACAATGGTTATTGATAACATAAAAATAAACACCCTAACATGCTAACTAAACATCACGAAATGTTATAAATACCCTTTCAGTAGAACTGACATTAGACTGGAGTTAAATAAAAAAGAAGAGATTGACAAGGGGGAGAAAGGTCATTATGTTTTTGCACTTGAGAAATTCCGACAGTCCCTCGCCTGCACCAAAGTTGATCTATGACCAGGTGTGAATGTGAAAATGAAACATGTTATTAAGAAAAGCTCTTGGAGAGGGGACGGCTGCCTCCCTCCTGAACACTTCCAGATAGATGCCGGTGCTACCAAGGACTTTATAGCACTTCAGGGAGGCTTTAGTCAGGTTTAAGCTACTGAAGAGCCGCTGAGATGGTGCAATTGAACTGACTGACGATGGGGACTCTTTTTCAAATTCTTCCCAATATACACAATAGCTAATAAAAGTTGCATTAATATTACATTATAGGGAATAATCTGGGTAGCACTGAGAAAAACAAAAATCTATCGATGAAGCACCTACTCCTCTTCCTATGAAACAAATAACAGGTGGCTTAGAAAAAGACTAAAGAGTGAGACGATAAAGGGTAGAAATTTTTGATAAAATTTCAATGCTTCAAAATCTTTGAAGTGTGGTCCTGGCAGGACTTGTGTTTTATGTATTTACTAGTGAGTGAGATTAAAAAAATATTTTTAGATTAGTTACATTCGGAAAAATTCGAAGGTTTCAGAGACTTCTGGGTGAAGACAAAAGATCTTACAGGTCAAAACCGGAACGGCATTTTCAGGTTGTGTAACGAAGAGGATGTCTGATTATGAAATATAAAATCATTTACAAATCTATAATTTATTCTAACTGTGCATACTAAGAAAAAATTCATGTAACCTATTTCACCAATATATAGGAGATAGGAAGTCAAAAATACTAAATGAAATTTATAAGGATATGGGGCCACCATTTAAGAGATATATAAATGAAAAAAAAATTGCCTTAGAGAAAATAAAAGCTAATGATAAGACCAATGACTAATCTTTCATACTTTTTTCATAGACCAAATAACAAAGGCCCTCTTAGTAGGAACACAGCAGTGAAGATTTATGTCTGTAGTATTTCATATTTGTTCACTCAGTTGTTTTCTTTTTAGTAACACGCCATATGGATCACGGTTGGTGAAAGACAGTCGAAGGGGACATTTTTCTAAACAAAGCAACTCCTGTGTCTTTATGTTGTTAAAGCATAAAGCATTCATTATTGATTCCTTGTCACAGCAAAACCTTGTATATCATTAACAAATAAATTACAGATCGAACAACAGTGATGACTTTCAATCTACCATCAGTCAACAGCAGCTCAACGGCCAGAACTGCCACCAGGGAGGATGGATGAGCTGTGTACGTCCATGGGCTGCTGGCTTTAAGTCAGTTCTGTTCCTAAAGCTGACACACGTGGGTATAACAGCATGTCCTCCTAGAGCTGTAAACTGAGTTTAACAAAACCTAAACTGAACCCCATATGTGTACACCCTCATGCATACACCTATGTGTATATTCCTGTATGTATAAAGAAGTAAATACAAAAACATACACATTTCCCTCAGCTAAAGACTGCCTCAGACAACTGTGGGAATATAAACCTAATGCACCAAAACACCTTTCACAGCCATGAGTGACATGAAGACAAAAATAGGCAAATACTGAATATTTTTTTGCTAATTCTCTCTACACTAAGTGGTGGAAATATTGTTTTGTTTGCTCTTCTGTGTGAGTCTGTCACATTGACTCCTGTGAGAGGTACACTGATTACAGACATACAGAATGATAGCTCAACACGGTGGAAACTAGTAAAAAGCAAAAATAATTGTGCTTTCAGAAAATAGAGGGGTTGAAATGTTGTCAGTGTGGTTTTCCTGTTTTATGAAGATGAGATTTCAGAAGCTCCTGCTGGAAAAGATGCCGGCATTTTGCCAAGCTTTGAACTGAGATTTCAGCATGTCAGGGACTTCAGGATGAAGTTGTGCCTGGGTGTTTCTCCCGCAGAGCATGCACCCCAGCTGCCTGGGCTGGAGAGGGAAAGGAGAGGAAGGGAAGAAGTCTGGGAAGATGTCAGCTCTGAAAGTCTCTGTGCAGGACACTCAGCTTTCCAGTTCCTGCACAACTCCTTTAACACCATGGAACACAGCAGAGCACACCTGAAGACTCTGAGCAAGTCCCAGGTATCTCTGCAGGCAATGTAGTCTCCTATCTCAACCTCGGTGTGATGACTTCAAATTTGGAACAAATATGACAGACACACTTTTCTGCCTATCCCCCTTCTTAATGCTTCCAGAGAAATTCAGCCAGGCTTTTAAGCTACATATCAAAAACTATTCAGTCTTGCAAAGAGAAGACTTTGGGGGGCACCTAATAGTTGCCTTCCAATACTTGAAGGGAACCTACAGGAAGGCTGGGGAGGGACTTTTTACAAGAGTGTCCACTGATAGGACAAGGGGAAATGGGTTTAAGTTGAAGAAGAATAGATTTAGATTGGACCTTAGGAAGAAATTCTTCAGTATGAGGGCGGCAAGACTTTGGAATAAATTGCCCAGAGATGTTGTGGTTGCCCCCTCCCTGGAGGTGTTCAAGGCCAGGTTGGACGGAGCCTTGAGTAGCCTGATCTAGTTGAGAGGCGTCCCTGCCCATGACAGGGAGGGTGGATTAGGGTATCTCTAAGATCCCTTCCAGCCTAGGCCAGTCTAGGATTCTATGGTTAAAAAAAATAATTCTGACACCCGTGGGAAAACGAAGGCACCCTATCTAGATCATTGCTCTTTGTTCCTTAGCTAACATCTTTCTGAGGATCCAGAAGGGTAGTATGTGGATGTAGAGACAACATAATAATTTAAATAAATCATATTGGCTGTTTTGCTGTTTGTGCCTCAAGTGATAGGTGGATAAAGAATGCAGATCAAAAGGCACAGGACATGGCAGAGGTGGGAAGATATAAAGTAAGAAGAAGATAATTCAAAAAACATGCATTGATCTAGCTGAAAAACACTGGATGGCTAAAATCTTGCAAGATTTTAAGAAGTGAAAATTATTGTCAGCATGCTGAAAAGCTGTCTTGTAATGAACTTTTCATACAAGACTACAAAAATGCCTAGTGTACTGCTTTGCATTCATGAAACCGACAGCAAAAAAGATAATTATATTCTCACATTCTAACTCCATTACCAAACTCTTTTTCCTACCGCTGGCATTTAGAACAAAATGGGCAGTTTCTCCTTAACTTTTTGTACTGTCTTCTGTCTTCCTTTAAGGAGCTTGAGGTTGGCAGTTTCAAAGGGAGCAGTGATGGCAGAAAAACTCCCGGTTCCATTTAGAAGCACAATTCCTGATGCTCTATTCATCAGCCACAAACAACGCTCACCTCACCAGGCTGGAAAGAGCATTTGGACCATTTTGCTGTTTTCCTCATCCAGCTTATCAAATCTTTAACTGCCACTGTCACACGTCTAAGTTCATCAGAGACGGAGAGAGATTCTGCTATAGATATCTTCTTCAGTTGCTAAAGACTTCTCATTCAAGAACACTTCGTCCCAGCTTCATTAGCATGTGCCCACACAAGCAATCTGCTTTTTTTAGATTCAGGAAGCAAATTTTCAACACTTATAATCACAGTCAGTCTTTATCCAAGTACACAGCTATTAGGCAAATGATGACTAGTCCGTGGAGTAGTTTTATGACTCAGAGCAGTGAAACAAGACAAAAAGATGGATTTCTCTAAAGCTTGGAAGGCCTGCCCTCCTTTCTCCCTGTTTCTTAATATTTCCTTATTTTAATAAAAAATATAATCTTTTAATATGTTGTATCTAACTGTTAGTGACAGGTCCCAGAATTTCATTCATGAATGCATCCAATTTACAGAAGAACCTCTATATTTTATGTGTGGAAGCATTCTTTATATTGCCATTAAGTTGTTCTGACTGGTACTTCCAGTACATCTGTCATACTTTGCAATCATGGGCATATTTCTAAGACAAACACTATATTCAATAAATTTCATATGTTGTATTTTTGTCATAAAACATCAAGAAGGATCCAACCTTTGAATGCACAGCTTTAAAAGCTTTAACATACAGCACTGAGAACTCCAAGTCGGGAAAGGTAAACCTTTCCTAAGCAACAGACTTCAGGAAAAAGAAATTCTGAAAACTTTTATTCAAGTATGTTTGAGAGCCAGCCATGCCATTTCACTGTTTTCACTGTTATTAGCTCTTTTTAAGTTGCATATTATCTTCTTAATTCTTCCTTAACATTCAGCTTAGCCAACATTTACAATTTTTAGGACTGAGCACAACAGAAATCTTACTAGAGAGTAGAGAAGCAGCTAGATGAAATTTTGTGATGTTGAATACTTGTTACATGCTCTACATAAACTTTAAGAAACACATGAGCAATCTATTTGTGTTTATAAAACAAAATTTTCATGCAAGTGCATGCAATTTGCCTTAAGGAATGTATTTTGCATTTACAAGAGGAAAAACAATACTGAGAACAGTAAGTGAGAAATTTAACAAGATAGAAAAATTGAGGTGGAGCATATGTCTTGGAATACTGTACCACCTTTATCAGCTTAGTGTGCAGCTTCATTAACAAAATATCTTTGTATGAAATTCTGTTTATAAAATATGCTGCTTGTTTAATAAACTATGCAAAATTTCAGAAGTTATGGCATTCAGTTCACCTAGTGAATTATACAGCGGAGCTGAAGATGTTCACAGCTGGTGGTATAAATTACAAAGGTGGATCAGCCCAGTGTGTATCTTCACTTAAAAAATTTTCAAAAATCCAGTTAAAATTCAGCATGTCCCTTGGCTATGAAACTCTGCAATTTGATCTGCAAACTGCTGAACAATGTAACTAGAATGATATTCCACGGCATCAACACAGCTAATAAGCTCAAGAAATACTGCAACACATCACAAGTGGACAGGAAATCAAGAAGGTTAAGTGGTATTATATCCAGATTTTACAGTTAGAAAATAATGCCACTGCTGCTAAAGGGTATCATACAGATTTAACAGACCAGACATAGCAGCTTCAGCATTCCTCACATCACTGCAGAGCTCCTTTGCGCTCCAGTAGGTGCTAAAGCGTACGTGTGGGGTGTTTGTAGCATAAGATGGAAGAGAAAGTACTGAGCAAGTTCTGAAGAAACTAAATTGAGTATGGGAAAAAAGGATGGTGCGGTTAGGTCAACTAGCAAGGCAGATAGTCATCATTAGCCACGGTTTATTCAAAGACATGTTTTATCTGATTTTCTCAGAAATTTATTATTGTATTCCAATCTCCTTTCACCCTCCTTGTGCAGAAGATACGGAGCAAGATGTAGGTGAAGTGTGCACGTACGTTTTCATAAGACACCTCTGCAGTTTTACATACCCTGTTTTAGAGCAGAGTGTGCTGAGTGGATGGTTAAACTTGGATGATGTAGCTTCTTATGACCTTCATAGTCCTCACTTAGGGAATAAAATTACCGAATTCACTTTAAAGAATTTTATTGAGTTGAAATTTTGTTATAATGATGATTTCTTTTTTCTCTCTCATTACTCCCTTGGAAAAGCACAATGGGATCAAAGCTCCGCAATTGAAACTGATGGAGAAAAATGAAGTAAAATGCTGTGGTTGCTTAGAAACATGTACAAGTTTTGCTCCAATACTCGGTGTCCTTTGTCACTGAATGATTAATGAACACGCAGTGTTTGTTTACTGCAGGAAATTAAGGCAGTAAATAAAAGCACTATCACTTTTATTTATCAGAGAAGACTCTAAAAGGACAAAGAGCAAGAAATCTAAGATGGGAACAGAGAACAAAAAAAAATCACTGCACATTTTTTGATGCTTCAGCATTACCAAATAGGTGGTTTCAAATGACGTGTTACGTGCGTAAGAATTATTTGGGATGAAAAAAGGACAAAGCAAATTCTGGTCCAAAAGCCAAAAAAAGCTGCTAAAAGCTTTTGGGAAGAGGGAAAAGGAAATGACACAAGGCAAAAAGCCCTGCAGAACTCTGGTTCCACAGAGAGACTTTCAGGAGCCAGTCATGGGGAAAACATCTCCAGATAAGACTGAGAAAAAGTAGTATTATTAAGATTCCTCTAATAAAATAATAATTATCATCTAAATAATGGAAACTTCTAAAAGAAAGCTGAAGTCAAGGGGTTTTTTTTGTCTTTCACAATAAAACAGACACCTTTTTATAATTTTTTTTAAAATGGAAACAGAATGCCACTGTGAATATTACACAATACCCATTTTTCTGTTGGAAAATGAACTTATAAAAGCAATGTGTTTAAAAGCCAGATGAGATCGATAAAACTACTGCCTGCTTAATTTTACAACAGGGAGCATGATCTAGCAAAGGACACTCAATTTGAATACCCATATGGTATGCCTTCTCTAATTTTACTACCTTTTCCTACATACCAGAGGTTTTGTCAAATACAGATTTAACAAACCTTAAAGACTTATAAGGAAATGTGAGTTCCATAGAAAATAGAATTGATCTTAAAATATGATAACTGAGAGATTAAATGATATAAAGCTTAATCCTATTGCTCAAATTTAGATATATAGCCTAATTTCTTTTTCTTTGAATTATAATGCTACTTAGACAAAGGCAGGGAACAGTGCTAGATTTTAATAGTAATCAAAAATAGTTTGACTCCTCAAGCTTTCTAATTCCAGCTGGGAGTCCTCTGCTTTCTCAGACAAGTTTTTAATACCAAGTAGCCCACTATGCTGACTAAATGGCTAAAAATACCAGTTGCTAGAAGCACAAAAATATACTGCCACACTCTAATCAATATAACTAAATCCTTGATTTTAGGAAAAAGTACGTATTTTGGGTATCTTTTATTGCATTCCTTGATGCAGAAATTAAATGCTTCAACAAATCTTTTTTTTTCCTTGAATGTATTTCTGCAAAAACCCCACATTGCTTACACCTCTTTCCACAAATATTCAGCCTAAACAAATTCAGCCCCTAAAGTAACCTATATTCTGTCGAACCTTCCATAACTCTCCCAGATGGTTTAACAACCTCTAATCACAATCTAAGTGAAGTTCACTCAAACTTGAGAAGTCTATCACCTCCCTGAAGGTTTAGTTTTACCAAGTGACGCATCCATGACAGCCATGCCTCATTACTAGCAGAAACAATACGTTAACAAGGTCCTGCAGCTCTCTAAAGTGGCAACTCTACAAACAGGCACAAACCAATTCCTGAAATGGTTAAACACTAAATCACATCTTTGCCACTGCTGCTTTTCCCGCAAGAGTTCTACCAGTTCCATTAAGCAGTCTTTAAAACAAATCCAGAGAGTATTCCTGCACAGACTGACAGCACAGAGCATTTGCTCCCCAGCTCTTTAATGCAGAATGTAGCTGACTTATAAAATATATGTATCAGCTTGACTAGGAAAAGTCGATAATCGCCCAAGGCATTAACATTATCATACACTCTAGATTAGACCTCGATTTCTAGGTGAGCCAAGCTTACATCTTGAGAATCGCACTCCTGGATGCTCTGATTTTCTTCCTTTCTTGAGGCCACATGAAGATTCTCTTTCTCTGCTGAGGCATTTCGCTGGAAATGGGAAATAAAAAACAAAACCAAAATGGTTAATATAAATAAAATTTCAAAGAAGGCACATTTGAAAAGGGATAACAAAACCACAAAAAGCTATATATTGCAACCTTTTAACTACATCATACACTGCATTTTCAGCAAATTTTCTAAAGGGAATATTTTAATTCATATTAAAGTGTTAACACTCCTGTAAAGGATTGCTTCCATGTAAGTAATCAAGGTTTTCTATCTGAAAACCGATTGTTTCAAAGTGACATCACTAAGCAAGACCATAATGAAGTACAAGTTAAATTATATATTCTGTGAAAACATTTAGAGCGTGAAGGCAGGAAAAGGAGATAGAAAAAGCATTTTCAAAACTCATATTCCTGTCACTCTTATGGAGCCTCTCCTGCATCTCCTCGCGCTCCAGATACGCGGCTCTACAATCCAGCCTGTTGTTTGATATATAAGCAGTGAATTTCCTTCTACTGAAATATTGGCTATTTTAGGAATGTTTTTCCATATTTTTTCAACTTTTAAGATTCAAAGGGAAATAAATAGAGCTTGTATTCTATTTACACCCCTGTATTTTTTTTAATTTACATTGGTTGCTTCAAAATTTTGCGGCCTTACATGCTAGACCTGGGCATAACATCACAAGAAATTATTTCAAAAAGAAATGATCCATAAAATCAGGAAAATGTATTGCTAAATTAACTGGATGTCCTGACACGTGTATCACTGCTTACACATCACAGCTGCATCCTCTACTGAGACTTACAGTGACTAGAACAGCTGGATGCACCACATAACCATCACCTTGTCTGCAGAAATATTCATTCAAAAAGCATTCATCTTCCATGGAAGGAATGTAATTTATGTAAGATTTAAGTGTGTCCAAAACATACCTTTGCTAAGAAAAACAAACAAAAACCCACTCCGGAAAAACCACATCTCCAAAAACCAAAATCAAAAAGTAATGGCTTATTCTGATACAATATATCCCCATAAAAAAAAATTAAATAAAAATAATAGCATTCAGGAGGTTTTCGTTATAAGCTCCAGATAATGAAGAGTTTAACTATCCTCAGCTTGTATGCAAGATGTATTGAAACTCTTCAGGGCAAAACAAGGACAGGGAATGAACCAACCTAGTTTCTCTGCAAAGAAAAACTAGAACCTCAGACATCAGTTTCGAAAGCTTGAACCATCCTTTCCTTTTGTCACTTATACTGCAGGAATTACTAACAAATAAAGTTTTCAGAAATGATGGAGAACAGGAGAAAACAAACTTGGCTGGTTCCCATTTGCAATACAGTCTCCATTTAACAGCTCTCCAGTGAATTGTTAGTTTTATAGAGCAATTCACTACTAGAAAAGGTGATGAAGAAGTGAACAAGTTAAAAAAATATCAATATAAATAATTGTTTTGTTAAATAACGAATGCAATTTCATATCTCTACTGAGTGATTTGCCTGCTTGGCTTGAATTACTGCAGTTCTGCAAACTTAAATTTCTTCCCATCGAATAAGACAGGCATATGTACAGTGAATGATAGTGCACAAATTCACCTGATTTCTTGACTACCTGAACCAGCAAATCCGTGTGGGATGCCAGGAAAGCCAGACAGCTTGAAGCCTTATTAACTCAGGAGAATAAATGCCTGTGCACAGTGCCTCCTGTTTTAGAATCTGATTCCTGGTCAAGTTTCTACCTTAGCACACTGCACCTGCAGCATATATACCCAACTTTTCAGAATGTTGTACTCATTTTTTACAGTGTCGTGTTTTCAAATGTTTACAGCATTTCTTTACCCCTAGAAAACTGGAAAATAGGAACATTTCCAATTCTCAAGTTCTTTAATATTCAAAACAGCCAGGTGCAACGTTATACCCTCAAAGTCTTCCCCTTTTTTCTCTCCCAAAACAAAACATATGATTTTTGGAAGTGTTTAAGTTTTCATACGATACCCTTAACCAGTAGGATCTGATTCAGTAGTAATCTTGTCAGGCCCTGGCTGGGTCCTGTCGATTTGAGCTCTGTCTTTATGGCCCAAAGGCCACAGGGCTTTCTTCCATCTCTTGTACTTGTAATATTTTGAGATTTAAGACTGACTTCTTATAAGAAAAAAAAATCAAAATAAAAATCAATATTTTCAAAGCTTATCTGTTTGCTGATGATGCGGGAGTCTTTGAGGTAGACTTTGCAAACAAGATCCTTTGTTATTAAAAATAATCTCTCCTAATAAAAAATGAATATGCTATCATTTGTCTGAGTGAAGCTTATTTACTACACTGACAGCTTATCTAATAAAAATGCCATCAAGTATTCCAGAGTGAAACGATTTGGAAACAGTTTCTGAACTCCTTCGCAATTCGCTTAAAGCTTTCCAAACCCTCCTCAAAGCATTTCAATACAGGATTTTGCATGCGAACATTGTATTTTCAAGGATCATCAACCCTTTTATCTTTTTTCTTTGAAATAATTTAGAAATTACAGCAAGTTCCTGGTGAGACCTTACAAGCTTGACTAAAAACCAAGTTTTGCATTTCAGATACTTGGAAAAACCAAAATTGTTTACAATGCATTTAACATAAATGCTTGCAAATGAAACCAGATTCTGTTGGTGTGAGCTTTGCTTGCAGCAAAACTTGCAGAATACTTGTGACAGAGAAGCAAGCCAAACCCAGTACCAGAGTTCTCTTCCAAAGTCTGCACTGGAACAAATGACAGAGACCAATTCTCTTTCATACATTTAAAATTTCTTTCAGTTATGCTCAATATATTTTTCATTTCTAATATCAAACAAATTTTCTTCTCAAAGCATGCATTGTTATTAAAATATGCTCATGTTAATTGCCAAATTAAAACTGCAAAATTAGGTGAGCTGAATACCATCTTCCTAAAAGATTTTTTTTACTTCAATATGTAGTTCAATTCTTTCCTATACTAGAAATATAACCCTAGTGGATCTTTCCTCTTCCCACACAGCTTTTTGGCACGACTGCACAACTCTCACTCTGTAGTCAGCGATGGTTCGTGTGAGGTGTCAGAGTGCCACTGACAGGCAGGTGACCTGCCAACACAAACACAGGTCCCATCAATGCATTTATTTCCTGTCCCTTAGACTCACACAGATTACTCTTTTCCACACTAAGGGTTTCTAGTGACATGCAATTTGCATGTTAAAAAAAATAAATTAAAAAAACCCCTACTCACCTAACAAGAAGATTGCATGGCGTTTCAAAGGCAAACAAACAAACTAAGCAATTTCTGGCAGAGTGCCAGTTCATGATACCCAAGGCCCCAAAATAAAACCAGTTTGATGACAGCCATGATGATTTTTCCCTAATGATGGGTAATATCCTGATATGCGTATTCATAGCCTGAAGTGTGGGTTTCCCAGAAACTCATGTTTTGCTCCGGAAGACTTCACCGTCCCAGTCTACTATCTCAGCACACTTGGGCACTCTGCATTCCCCTAGGAGATGTCTTACTCCTTTGGGAAGGAAGTGGCTTCTTGTCATGTCTAGGAAATCCAAAACCGCTCAGAGATTTGTAGCACTTACTGTGAAAAAACTAGAGCAGTTTGTATTGTAGCAGGTGGATGTTGTCAGAGCTTTTCTGGGCAAGGTGCATCGGGTAAGAGCCAGAAATCTCTTCCTTCCACAGTCAGTTCTGTCTGCCTGCTCCTGGAAACCGGGGACTTGGTCTATCACACGTGCACACAGGACAACTGCCAGGTAATGCCTCACATATTTGTTTTGGTCAAGAAAAAGCAGTCAATTCTATCACCTTTTCCCTCCCCTTTCTTTTACGAGAAGCACCATTTGCAGTCACTGAAGTTCACAGCAGTGTCTTGGATTATATGTGACAGATTTTGACTCACCCTCCTAGTACAACAAGTTTCAGAAAATTTAACTGATTGTCTATTATATCTTTCCACAACAGAAATGACAGATAAATACATATTAATATCTACATATAGTATACAGGAAATTATTGTATGGCATTTCTTCATAATCTGACTTTAAAATCTTCCACAGTTTAAGTCACATACAGAAATAAATGAGAAGTCCAGGTCTAATATCAGAAATTACATATTTCATGACAGTCATGGTCCTTGAGTATGTATATACATATATTTATCTGTGTTGAACTAGCTTTTCTCTATCACACAGTCAATATTTAATAACAAGTGGGAGAGACATAGCTCAGTTTTTATTTATATTTAACGCACATCTACAGAGTTACATTTATATGGGGCAATTCTTCTCAAAGGACTGCAAATCCTACAGTGTACCAGATCTTCAAACTTCTACATACTGTTTAAGTAAACAGAATTGCCCTTGATTATTTATTTATTATTATTATCTTTAATATGGAAAATAGCTGCTTACTAGTATACATTATGCCAACACTGAGCACAACAATCAGAAGTTTTTCAAGTAATCTAAGATAACTTCACTTCCATTAGAAGTCAAAATTGTTAAGACATCTGTAACATGGATAACTAAAAGACCATGTTTTCTTTTCTGTGCATTCATGCTGGTTGTAACGGAATTTCTCCGAGATGAATACTCACAATAACCTCAAATAGCTGAACATCCATCAGAGGGAAATGACTTTGAAATAGATCACTTGGGATGACAGATGACATATTTAGATGTTAATTTCCTGAATCATCATTTTCATAACATAACTATGAGTGCAGACTTTTCCCTCACACATGCACCTGCTCCCAGCATTATATTATGTTAGATATAGTAAAAAAATAGAAGCCACACCTGAGAGCTTGTTTATCATTGCGATCTAAATTTTGCTTTTTTTTTTTGTAATAAAACCTAGTTTGAAAGCATGGCATATGTTTGAGAACTTAAATGCATGCTTATTAGTAGAACCTTATACCAACATTTTCAGCTGCCTCATGTCCTTGTAACAAGTGCAGTTTCTTATTTCTATTCCCATACAGCTGAAGGGGCAAAAACCCTCACGAAAACATACGCAATACATTT